GGGTGGGAGGGGAAGAAGGGAAGATAGTAATGGTAATAAGACTGAGTGGAGTCCAATTCGGTCTGTAATCAAGTGAGTGATGAACAAATTTGGACGACCGCGAGGCAGGTGTCCGATTGGTTAATTACGATCATGATCTGTGCTCAATCGGGCTGGTGAGAACCAATCACGTTCGAGAATTTGTTATTGTTTTGATTAACCCCATACCCGCCAGATGTGGTTTTTTATCAGTTCACTCATATTGTAGCAATTTGGTGCAAGGTATCTTTCAGCATGAGTATTGCGAATGATGGTTATCAGTCAATTAGTCTTTGCCGGCGCAAAGAGAAAAAGCGTAATAAAATAATTATGCACAAAGGGAATCCGAAGCGTGTTTGTTTGATCAGAAGCGTGCGTCATGTTAGATGTCACAATCATGTCTCGTCTTTTCTTGTTCTGTGTTACAGAAAGGAAAGTGGAAAACGATATAAACCTGGAGTTTAAGTTTAGGTTTGAGTCGAAGAGTTTGCATGTCGATAAGTAACGGTGAGCGTCCTCCTGTTGGGAACGCAACAGAAATCTTTCATTAAAACCTGACTAACAATGAGTAAAACTATGCTTTCTTTCAGTTTCCAAGCCACAGTTCTGTTACTTTGGTGGTCGACGATTCAGGCGCGGTCGTGTTTTTATTACGAAAGACTGCACGCTCAAGTGTCGCTGCAAAAAGAACGGGAAAACGCGATGTACGCCGTTGTGTAAGAAGAAACCAGACCCAGAGTGCGGCCCTGATGAAACATTGAAAAACGTTACTGAATTGTCCGCTAGGGGAAGATGCGCATGTGAGACAAAGAAATGTATGCCGAACTTTGGTAAGTCTGTAAGTCTAGCAATGTCTGTGTACAAATGCTGAATCGCTCTGCTCTTAAAGCTTATCCGCCGGTCTCTGAAACATTTGCTCTACCTCTACCCTCAGATGACATGCCATTCCTTGCAGATGCGGGACAGGTTAAAATCTTTCTCAGCGGGGGGAATTGGGGTAGAATCCGTAAGAATCGGTAGAATTGGTTGTGTCACGATAAAATTTAACTGAATCCCCATAGGGCATGATCCTCCCTCATTGGTAGTTAATTGGTGGTCACTTATTATCTGCTATTTCCCTCCATTTATACTCTGTTGGTGTTCGACCTGTAAACCATGTGATCACATAGAAATCCTCCCACAAACCCCCCTCCCCCCCGACCACAAATGATGACAGGTTCCTAATCAGCAAAGAATTCGTTAAAAATTCTTAAACAATGTAATCATGATGGTATCTATTTATACTCGGAATGGAGAGATGCACGGCGTACTTTGGATCACCATTAAATAAACCCGGTTTCTTAAAATTTGTTCTCTCCTAGCAAACGTAGAAAACGTCTGGGTAAATAAATTGAGTCGTCTTGAAAGCAGGAATACCTGAGGTAAGACTTCGAACCGTGAAATTTACAGTAATCAAGGCGGAAGAAAAATTGTGGTTTGGTTTTTGGGAGAATTTTGCCAAGAAAACGTTAATTTTTTCTTCAAATGCGACTGGGTCATGAGTAAGAGATGAGTTAAAAGGACTGCTTATCAAGACCCTCCTAAAATCACAAATTTGAACAATTAGGAAGGCCTCTTTACACATATGTTTAGGTACCAGCCAGGAGGGGTTGGTGCTGAGGACTTTGGGGGGATCACATGGTTTGTTAGGAGGAATGGAGGGGGATTAGTCGTCGCTAAGAGAGTATATGGGGGACTATATAAATTGACTGAAAATTACAAATTAACTGCCAATGAGGGGGGGAACACAACCAACATATTAACCCCCCTCCTCTCCCCCCCTTGGCAATAAATTATGGTGTCCGGGCCTTAAAAACAAACCAGATATGATATCTCCTAATTCGAGCGTTTCTTTCGTTTTAATTTCAGAAGCACAGAGCAGTACATACACATTGCAATAACTCGATTAAGAGTTAGTGCCATACCATTAATTAAGGACCCTGCAACGAAGCCAAATTCATAATTTCTTGACACGTTTTCATATGGTACCATACGCACGCCTCTGTCCGATATTAAAGAAGCAAAGCAAGATTACCTGATATCCGAAAACATTCGTATAATCAACTTTAAAGAATATCTCTGATGTAACACTTGGCTTATTCTCCCATGGCGAAGACTGATGCTGAGAAGAAAAGAGATGATGATAATTTTTTGGACAAATTCAGCTTTGTCTTGCACCAAAAAATTGAAAGATTAGGCAATCATTAGCTTAGGATAGAAAAGAAATTTTTTTAAGTAACTCCAAGTTCATTTAAAAAGGACTTAACATGTTGTTGCGGTGTACTATATTATTTAGAAGCCCTATAATCGTTTTCATGAGAACTCAAAGGAATGAATCAAAAGGGATGCCGTCGGTTTGTTTATATGTCAGCGTTAACACTGTGTTACACGTGATAAGTCTCATTACGTAATCAAATGAACTAAAAAGTGCTTTTACGTTATGCATCATGAGGATAGCTCAAGGATAAATGGCCCTTCTCGCCCAAAGGCACAGAGGTGGGTGCATAAGGCACCCCTCGCGTAAAAAGCTGCCATTTGAGTGCAGTCTTAGAATATCTTAGGTAAAATTGAGCTGAATGCATGCGTTTTAGCATTCCCAATTACTTCTTCTTAGGCAGTCTATGTATGCTATACATCTTGTAGATAGATGATTCCTTTGAGGGAACAATCCTAATAATAATGTCCATTTATTGGGATTGAGCTTCAGTAACAAAAGCATTAATCGATACTTGTTTTTGTTCTTGAAGTTATACATTCCTATACCTCTTACTGTTGTGTTATCAGGCGCGAAATACGCAGAGAGAAGGAGAAAAGAAAACACTTACAATCGTCGTATGTTATGTGGAAAAAAATGTTGACGAACAAACGTTTTTCAACTCGTCAATTTAGAACACTTAAATTTAATGATACATAGCTAAAATGTGACTGACTTAGTGTCTAGAAAACACTTGCATCTTTACCAAAACATGCAATGTCATCTAGGCGTTGCATCAATATAGTTTGACCCACTGCAAAGTAGCACAAGTGGTTGGAATATACTGTTATCATAACTTAAATAAAAGTTTTGAAACTTAAGTTTCATGTATTTAGTTATGGAGTGAATTATTAATTCCTCGAGGCAACGGGACTTTCTGTAAATTAAGTCTAACTAGTGATAGCCGCTAAAAAACTACAGCCCCATGATGCAAAGTTTGACGTATCAATTAGGCCAAGCAGTGACTAGATTCACTTGAATATTCTTTTTCATACGTCTCGTGTCAGAAACGTTTGGGTGGAATTCTGTGAGCGACAAAATAAGCTTTGTTGTGGTCCATAGCCTGCAGGGCAGCTGGCGAACGAGTGCGCAGTATTTTCTTAGCGATAATTATGGCTGTCATCTTTGATTTTTAATGGAAATGGAAGGCTGGGAAGAGAAAGAGATTTGTACCGAGGAGGAGGCCTACAGTGAATATTTCGCTTCTTCTCGCCCCATTCCCCTACCGTCGACTCAAACGTCAAATTAAACACGGCCAGTTGAATAAACGATTGCGCACTTCTTAACGTTACTCGCCTTAGTAAGGCGCCTGCACTACAGACTATACAGTCCTGAGATGTGACTGGTCACTATGTATGAGTCACATGAAGAAAACTGAAAAATCTTTTCAAGCTATGTTTGTTTCCCGCTTTCTTGAGAAAGAGTTACAAAACATTATACGCTCTAGTCGTTGAAGCGTTCTTGTTGATCCCTTAGGCCATTTTTCACCAACAGGGTTAATACTTAATTGGTAACTGCCTTAGCAACCGTATGACGTAATTTTTTCGGATAAATTTTTGAAATTAAGCGTCATTCTGTTTTGAAAATCATCACTAAGTGTTAAGTCTGATTTGCGAATTTATCCAAACGTTACAAAATTTCCGAAACCTGTTAACTCACTTTAGACTTCGATTCCCTCGCGACTGTTCAAAGTTCCGGCTGTGTGCTGACTTTGGTTTTCATTTGTTGTTCATTTCAAAGGAATATAAAAGGCTAAATCCCAGTGATTAAAAAAAAAAAGTTATTTTAATCTTGCCTTTGTGTACACAAAAAGCTCACATTTGCGAGGACATTAATTATACGGCCTATTCTTCTTAAAAATAAAAGTTGATTTGTGTCAAATTTCGAGGGCAATCCTTCCAATTATAAATAAAATTCAACCCTAAAATATTTAATCCTGAAATCTTTAGTCGCCAATATCTATGTTTATTAAATCAGGAGAAATTTTATTTTCAAATCGATAGGAAAAAAAACCATCACCTTTTGGACTGATGGCGTCATTGAAATTCATTGATAAACAAAGCATGAAAAAAAGTAAATATGCAAAAGCTCTAAATTATCCAACATTTTTTGTGGTAAGGGAAAAAAACTGTTCCAGCTTTCAAAATTTTGAATAAAAAAAGTCTTGAATTAAAGTGCCTGATTTTTGGGATGTTAATTCATACTGATCTTTTTCTCATCAAACATTCTGACGAGCGAGCAACCGCGTTACTTGGATGCTAGATTCTTTCTGAGACCTTTAAGATTCCCCTTGGATAATCGTTTTACTTATCATAGTGGGAAATATTTTTAAAGGCAACCTGTGCAGAAAGGAAGGAAGGAAGGAACTTTTCACGCTGAGTTTTAAATTTAACAGGTAGGGAATAAACGGGAGCAAAGACCATATTGAAGAAAAAAAGCGATGTTTTGAAGAATTTCAAAGAGCCTTAAGAAAATGCTGATTACGACGGTTTTTATTGTCTACCATAATGCTATTTTGCTAACAAACGTTTCGTTACATGTCTAAGAGGAAAAGAGGAAAATTTTTGTCCCCCTTGAATTGGCAATAGGCAACAATTACCCTTCTTAAAATTAAAGCGATTCAGAGACGCGTTTTAGGAAGTTCGAGAAAAAGCTCTTGCTGTGATTGCTGTTTAGCGTGCTCAGCTTGTTCCATTTCTCTCTCATCGAGTTTTAAAAGGTATAAGAGAAAAATATAAATCTGGAAAGGAAAAAAGTTGTGATAATTAAAACACAAAAATAGTGGGTTCAAAATGGATTTTCCAGCAAAACGTATTTTCATCAAGTTTGCAAGACATTTGGAATTGCGACCATTCAAACGTCAGAGAAAATGTCGATTTTGCCGGGCATCTGTAAGTCGGTCAATTTTTAATTAAAAAAAAAATTTCTCTCTCCTATTTGTATTTATTAGAGACGATACATTTTGCCTCCTTTTATTTTTTTGTCCGCCGGTTAATTCGACTTCATCAAAAAGCAAAAAACGTAATTGAAAACTCTCAGCGAAGTTTTTCCCTGTGTTCTAATGGCTTCTGTAAAAGTGGGGCAGAGAATCTGCAATAGCCATATCCTTGAAGTGCCTTCTTCCCGAGACCTTAGGTCTCTTCAAACTGTCTAAGGTCTAAAACTAAGGCCTTTTTTTTTTTCAGAATAATACTATTTCTTTTACACTGCACTTATAAATTGATGATAAACCCTGTTCTCTTCCGGATTACTTACTCAAACATGGCAACTTTAAACACAGCTTAAGGAATCGCCTTCTGGAAAGTTTTCTAAGTAGAAATTAACCGTTTTTCTTTTTAAGTTTTCTGAAGCAGTTGCTATATATCTTTTTTATGATAGTTTCTACGGATTCAATATAGGAGTAACTTCTTATTTCATTCTTACTGAACTTTTTTAATCATTGAAGTAATAACACCACGGAAGTTGTTCATTAGCATAATTGGGGGCCCTAATAAAAATATGGCATTTATCAGTGTTGCGAAAAAGGAAAAGTGGTCAATAATCACTGTCCCAAAATTGTTATTTTACGCTGTTTAGGACTGTTTTGGATACGAAAAATACCTAATTCTCCGATACCAGGCTTTTTTTAAGCGTTCACCTTAAATCAATATTATAAGATCAAAAATAATTATGATTGGCTAAAATCGTGCTGATAACAAAATAGCCGTTTCTCGATACGACTTGCTTAGGGTTGGATGGAAAAAAAATTAAAATGCTCTCCGCGAGAGTCAGAATTTAAGGGCAAACGAGAAAAACATCTGATTTTGCTTTCTTTAAAGTCACCTCCTCGAAATATATTTTGCTTCAAAAAACAAAGGATCAATGAGACACTCTTTTCTCTGAGAGTAAAGTGGCTCTCAATTATGGGATGAGGTAAAGTTATAGAAAGTGAGATTTGCTGAGCAATGCTTTGGCCTTATTACCCTAGGGACAGTCTCCGGAACAGTGCCAAACAGAATTCCCCGATGAAGTCTTGGATCATTTTCTTGCTGCTGTTTTCGCTGGTCGTGTACAGCAATGGCCGCACACGATTTAGCATGGTCGAGTTTGACGAGGCACAGGAAATTAATCTGGCATACAAGTTTTGTATAAGGCAGTGTACAGAAGCATGCCTGACATCTGAGCACTGCCATAGAACATATGACAAGCAGACGCTCTGTATGAATGGTGCAGAAGATGATAAGCTTACATGGCCAGGCTTTTCGTATCAGGGTAGAACCATCAAGGCCTGTAGTGAAATTAACGCACCGGTGATCAGCCGGCGCGAACCGAAGCCCGAACCAAAGCAGTATATGGACCCGTACGAGCTTTTGCGGCTGATGGATATGAAATAATCTCTCGCGAGGGTAAATATCATTATGTTCCTTTTTGAAAATAGAATTAGCGAGGAAAAGCTTGGGTACTTTTAACCACTCCAGTGATATTTTTCTGAAACTTTTCATTTGAAAAATATCTTTACTTTAATTTACTGTTACTTTTATTGTAAAACTGCTGAAAAATGGATTGGGCTAGTTCTTTTTCTTGTTGTTGATTTTAACTTGTATTTATGTATAACAAACCTGATATCATTAAATGACTAGACTGGTGTCAAGAGCAGTGTTTTGTGGCTCTTGAGATTTAGCTTACCAAAGTAATTGAGCAACTTGCTAAGATTTGGACTTCGTAAACTTCAATCGGTTCGTCCAGATCTCGCACAATAGCTCCGTAACAATCATCTCTTCATAATCTCTGCATAACAGCTACATATTATATTATCCCTTTGCACCGTAATATCAGTATGCATATTCTCAATACCTTTCACCAAACATTTCCTAAGACAGCTGTCAAGGAGAATTTGTTAACAATCAAGAGATTCTTTTATTGGTGATTATTTCCTTTATTCTCCTGATGCTTGCTAGCTAGTCTTAGCGGTTAAAGTGTTGAGATCAGAAAGGAAAGATCAAGAATGTATCCATCTTGAATGGAGAGGGTAAACAACTTAAGTCCCTAGCCTTAGTGATGGTCGGGTTATCACGTTGGGGGGAGGGGAAGGGGAAGCAGGAGGTGAGTGGGGACAAGGCTGGGGCTGCGTTTTACTAAACCCCACCCCTTGCACTTCATTTCTTCCCACTTATTGTATTTAATGCCGGCCCTAAAAAACTGGCAATCGATGTTTCATCATCAACTAGTGTACGGACAACCTCACCCTCCCCTAGCAAGCGGACGAACCTAGCAGAGCCTGACAGTTAATCTCGCGCCCAGATCCTACCGTACGTGTATAACTGCAACTTGCAACCGTTTTGTTGGCCGTGGAAGGCATGGATACGAGACTACCAGCTAGTATCGCGAAAAATTATGATTTCCAGGGAAGAAATGGAGTACATCAAACATGGAGAATAAGTTCCTCAAACACTCATTTCTGGGTGAACACAAAGAGCTTCTTTATTCCTCACAGTTCTATACTAGATTTAGAATGATTTTAAAGTACATCGCGTTCCTGTAGAACCACCAGCGCAATGGGTAAAATGTGTATCTAAAAGGAGAGAAAACCATTACAGATAACTGTAGTGTATATGATTCAAATTATACACATATACAGACTGGGACAGGTTTCTAACGCTGGACAGGTTTTTAGCGCTATGTACAGAATGGCAAGTGCGCGTGTTTCTAAGTGTTTAGCTGTTTATAATGCTCTGAGATTCTTTCATTTAAGGTGAATAAATTGACAAAGTAGGTTGATCATAGCCTCTCTCCGTTTCAAAAACTGAGTTTACTTGGACGATGGAACTTCACTTTCTAACCATAAAGAGTTGTATTTGGTTTGACCTCATGACGGCCCAATTTGGTACGCCCGCCTTTACAGTGATTTTCATCCAACGGATTCTGAGTTTTATTTAACTAACTTTGTTGGGGAAAACATGATTTTAGCCTCAAGTTTCGGTGTAAACAGGCCTTGCCACATGTTCCCTAACACACCCTTTTTTTAAATGCCCCAAGGGTGACTATTGTCACCAAGAAGTATTTCATTGTACTTTGCTTTACTCTACTGTACTTACAGACAAATGATCTTCATTTTCCTATTTTTTTTTCCATACCTTGATATACCTGTGCGTCAAAGAAAATTGCGATGGAATCGTATGGGTTAGTAAAATCATGGGGCGAGTTGCCATCATCTGCTGCTCTGTACAATGATTCATGAAAATCCCAGCTCTGAGTATTTACCCCTTATCCGACTGCTTAACATGTAATATGCGAGGACATTTTGCGAGTTCCATATTATTGTTTGGAGCTCTGCAGTGGCGAGGTAATTACGAGCAATGAGCGAGTGATCAATTTTCCGATTAAGTATTGAAGCCGCCATGTTGGATTGGTAAGATCGACGAAAGCCTGGTGCAAAGAAACCAGCGAAGGGTGGAGTGACGGAATTGTGGGAAAGGGAGGGGGCAGGATGGAGTTATTTTCCCCACCACCTACCTTTCTATATTCTACAGGGTAAGGTGAACTTTATACCAACACTGCCCCATTATGTTTGAACCTCTTCTGATTTTTTTTTCTTCGACATCATTTATTTCTAACAACATGAATAAAACAATAATTAAATCATAATGCCCGCTTATAATTCTTACCAAGGCGGTTTAGTTGGCTTCCTTACACATATGATACATTTGCATTCCACATCACCTTGCTTTACTGTTTCCGCGTCTATATCGTAAATTTTTGGATTACAGTGCCTCGAGCCGGCACACTTCAAATTCACACAAAGAAACTTGACCTCCTAAAGGGCCAATAAAAAGCGTAGAACTGATGAACTTCAATAATGAAATTATCTATTGAGAAACTGCCTTACCTATTTCTGCAATTACTGTTGTTAAACAGCAAAGTAAAGTGATAAAGAGAATGAATGCCATATTCTATGATTTTGGAAATATATCGTTGATCGTCGACCTACGTTCAAAAGAAAAGGAGAAAGGAGAGGGACTGTCAAAAGTAAATTAACTCCAGACCGTTCTTCCTCTCTCTGAATCATCTGAAATACATTTGATCTATTTATGTATTCAATTTATGTATTCAATAACGCTGTCTAGACACAAATACTTTTGGAATAATGAATATCAATATCTGAAAATCCCCTTATGACAAATGCATAAACCATGTCAACATTGCAAATATTCGTCTTAAAGATAAAGAGGCGCATTAACTCGGTATATTATACACCTGATCCAAAAATATTCAAAGCATAATTTTTGTACTAAATAAAAACTTAACAGATTATGTTAAAAAATGTGTGAAGTATTTCATCAATTAAAATTTATCATTGGTAAAATTTAGTTCTTATTTATTCACAATTTCTATGGGTTAATAAGTGGAAGATCTCCTTTGAATAGCTCGTTAGAGCTTGCCAAGATGTCTTTCCATCATATGTAATTAGGAGATTCTATGATTAAGCATGAATTATTACAAGTGTTATAACGTACAAACGCATGAAATGAAGAGGACGGGCTTACTACGAATAGCTTTGTAACCCATGTTCATCAGCTTTCTATGGCAGGTGCACGTTTGCTCAATTCATTTATCTCGATATTCTTGAATCCACGAAAACTGTACTGAGGAAGTTAATAGGGACCTTAAGCAAACCACGACGGTGACGGCAACGAGGAGGTGGCAACGCAAAAGATCTAATGAACAATAGCCAGCAATCGCGTTTTAAAACTTTGTAGATTTCTTAGCTGTCCGTTGCAAAACAAAAACGTGAAATCACCAGAGTTTGCGTCGTCTGCGGAAATCGAAAACCGCGACGGCAAATTATTTTAATTTCCATTTAAAACTCATCACTGCTTTCATACGTTATGGTGAAGTTGAGGTGTGGCGCTGTAAGAGACGGTAAACACATGCAGTCATTTACGAAGTTATAATTAAAAAGTAGAAATTCATTTTTTAATCGACGTCTTCCTCGGCGTTGCCGTCCTGACTGCTTAAGGTCCCTATTGGCTCCTCGGGATGATTTCCTTGCCGTGATTGGCTGTTGTGATTGGTTTAGTTTTAGGTTTACGACACTCAGTCTCACTAACATGGCAATAATTTATGATCTCATCTGGCTAACTTTTTGCTTCGATGCTGCATCCTTACTTCGATTCACTATTTACGTCTTTTGTGAAACAGGTTATGTGGCGGACGAGAGTAGTTCCTACGCAATGGCCTTTTATTTATCAGGAGTAGTGCTTATTGTTGCCGTCCTGACTGCTTAAGGTCCCTATTATCTTGCATCAGAACAAAACGAGTTGCGATTTTTAAAACAAAAGCTACTGCTTTTTTATCGTGCGCCGGTAAATGAGGGTCTGGATGGGGTTAACTGACAACTGACAAATGACCAAAATTTTAACTGACAACTGACATTTGTGGTGGGCTTTTACTGACAACTGGCACATGATCGTATCGCCCTGAATATCCTGAAAACTGGATTTAAAATAAGGACAGTTTATTTATTTGTCCAATATAAGTAGGTTTTAATTTTATTACATATCATTACGAGTATGCCAGAGTGTCATATTTCGTTAATAATTACCGCATGGACCATCCACATTAAGGTCATATGTCACATATCGGTTATATGATCTTCGATACCCAACTCGATCCTCAACTTACTTTTAAAAGCTGTTGTAAGTACGTTTTATCGAGTTGATTCGGAAACGGCATTTGAGCGTTAATAGCTATTATTGATGTAAACACCGTACTGGCGCTGAAAAAGCACCTTACTTCGTTCCTTGGTCTAAAGGAGTTGTCCAATGAATATGACCTCAGAGATTTTGGTGACCTCAGAGATTTTGACAATTTTGCCTGGCTTCGGACGAACAATGGAATCTGGAGCTTCCGACCATGGTGGCTGGAACAGGAAACGAAGTAAACAGTATGTGTTGGAATGGTTTGGTATTTGGTATTGATATAAATACATCAGTTAAAAGTGTACTCTGTAGTGTAGAACGCCCTTTAGATGCCGATGTATAAGAGCTCAGAATTTCGTCACTCTTGATTTCATGTAGATTATGTTCTATGTAGATTATGAATGATATAGCTAAAGTGACCTTATGAAAAAGTTTTATCTCAAAGCGTCGCGACAATGCGACTGAAAGTTCGTCTAAAAACCATCGCGAAAAGAGACCGGCGTTTCTAAGGTGAAACAATGGCACAGTATAATGCAAACCACAGCAACCAACGGCCCTGAAGGAACTGTGTCTAATAAAACTTAAGTCTCACTTAAACTCCTCGAATGCGCCGCCTGCACAGCAGCATACAGCTTCAATTAACAACGATTATTTCAAAGACATTGAATTGTGAACACTACTCACAACAGTTGTGGAGAGTCTACACGCAGTTTGCCATCCTAAGAATGAGACCTTCACCGCATTGCAATATTCTCAAGACTTTGGAATATATGTAATTACCAAGGAGTTGTTGAAGACAGTGAAAAAATGGGCAGCTAAGTATTTTACTCATGAAGAATCCTACTATCCTGTCCCTCAGACCTGCACGGAGTTTGCAGATGTCAACTTTATGCTACCTCTACCTTCAGAAAAGATAAACTCCGAGACCTGAAAGTAATATGAGAGAATTTTTGGGGAAGTATCGTCCGTTGAGGCAAAGGACAGTTTGTGAGGAAACTACTAAGGATAAAGCAGGGGTTTTACCACCAGCCGTCTACACGACGCAACAAGATTGCACCGAAGTGAACATGGGATGAGGGAACGATTCAGTCTAACTTTGGAGATCAGCCAGTGGGGCTCAGCAGCGACAGAAATTCCGTTGGAGCTACTTCGGAAGGGGGGAATGTGACAGATGTCACATTTGTTGATGACTGTATCGTTGAAGTGGGAGTTTCTGAGGTGCGAACATATGCAGACGGACCCAGACACGGACCCAGAAAAAGACTTTTCTGACCGAGAGGATGAAGGTATCGCCCCAATTACAGTTTCCAGATCCGGGCGACCAATTCGCGCCATTTTCGCTTGGATTTCTAGGGTACGTTTCAATACAGTAGATGTCTCTAATAACTCTCTTGAAAAGTAGACAAAAGAACATTCCTTTCCGATCATTTCATCGAAGCCAATCGCAATCGACGCATTGTAAACCAATATATTGAGCCAGAAGACTCTTCACAACTTTTCTGTCTTTCTGATGATCTTCTTTCGAACATGTTGCACAAGGGCAGACAGAGTTTGGTGTGCATAAGAGATGTAACTTACTTAAAAACCCTTCAAACAAAGACACTTGGAAAGTCACATGGAATATCTTAGAATTATTTCATTCCAGAATTGACAAAGAGTAGTTCATGTATCAATTTTCGACTCGGTTAGTTTTCAAGTTTACGCTTTATGCGCCTTTTCAGCCAAAATTAGGGTCGGAAAGTAATAATTAACTCGCTAAGTTAATCATTAACTGTCATTTAACTGACAACTGATAAATGGCCTAAAATCTAACTGAGAACTTATAAATAGCCGAGATTTTAACTGACAACCGACATTTGTACTCCCCCATTCAGACCCTCGTGAATGGTGCTTTGTGCGTTCGCTCAACTGCAAGCAGAGGGTTTATTCGGAAGGTTAAAGGTACGTTTCTGCTTCCGGGGAGCGAAGACAAACGAATGGCTTCCGAATTCGTGCAACAAAAGGAGAAATCGTTTAGTTACGCACGAGGAAACTGTTACAAAAAATACAGAAGATGCAATAAAGTGTTTGCCTCTAACCCAAAGTAAAAGCAGGCAAACAACCTCCATATGCTACTTTTATTTTAATTTGATTCCACGCTAGTTTAAACTCAGTTTAAGTCGCATCGCAGAGTTGTCGAGCCACCAATGCGAGAGGTCTGAAATGTACATATCTAAAAGAAAAAAACCGAAAAACTGAAAATTAAAGTGCGTCTAGCACAAACACATTTTATGCCTTTCTTAACATTTCCATAATTTCCTGATTCAAAATTAATAATTATAATAATAAAACATACCTACACAGTTGGACAAAGAAACTATATTAGTTGTTTCTGCCCTTTGTCTTAAACGTCTGTGAACTTGAAAGCGTCATTATGTCGAATTGAAATTTCGTTCCTTATTTCCAAAAACAGAGCGCCTGGTTATTTGGAGCAACAATGCTAATTTTTGTACCCAAAATGAGGATGATATTGAAAAGACAACTATTTAGTGGAAAATTAACAGTGACTGTCTTAGCAGAGCCCTCGTAACGAATTTCTCAGGGGCAGCTGGTGAAAATTACAATTATCTTCACGATAGATTTGTGCACGTTTCTTACAGGCAAATAGTCTTCATTTTCCCAGTTTATTCCATATGTTGACATACCTGTAAGTTAAGAAAATAACGATGGAATCATGCATATCAGGGTTTGCAACATAGCTGTAGAAAGGCTGGCAGTGCTTCATGAAAATCCAAACGCTAAATATATGACTATCATTATATGGCTGTGTCCATGTCTCACAAGGACTAGGAACTACCGAATTCACGAATTTGATTGGCTGAAATCAATATTGAAAGCGGTCTAGATTTTCCCATCTAGACCGGCATCTAGACCGGTCTAGAAAAAAAAGGTACAAAGAATATAAAAAAACTGGCATGTAAGACACATCCATATAATAAACATCTTATTAACCGAGCTAGGTCGGTCTGTATGGGAGGATCTTGACCTCGGTCGCTGGTACAGACCTCACTGCGTTTGGTCTGTACTGGCGACCTCGGTCAAGATTCTCCCATACAGACCTTCCGCTCGGTTAATAAGAACGAATAACAATTTATAGAAACCCTCACACACGCATCCCGTTGGGTTTCTCACAAAATTTTATGTGGTACAGCCTAATTTTGTTTCAACCAAGAAAAGGTTAAATCGAAAAATACTAAGTCGGAAACAGAAAACACAGAAACTATTCCTGTTGGCAGTATTTTCGATTAAGTTATTCAAACATCTGCAAACATGACCAATAAAATCCAATAAATTGGTTTGCGAGGAATTTGAAATTTTCAGCACTTTCTACTGTAACCAAGTTCTTTAATTTCCTTATATGGGGGGAAGGGCATGTATCTAGATGACGGTTTTTCAGGAAAATATTCCTTTGGGGAGGTAAGAAATGCGTCAGGATCGTTGCATAGATCACCATTTTGAGTTAAGTTGCGAGAGGGAGAGGAAGAACACGGGTTGGCGCAAAAAAAAAAAGGAATATATATCCTAACCGACACTACTATAAGTTCTTGTATTATTATTGTTATTATTATTATTATTATTATTATTATTATTACTATTATTACATAGCCTTCAAACCAGATTTCTGTTCAATATAATCAAAGTTATGGTTTCTAGATCGAATCGAGCGAGAAAATGAACAACTAGAAAATTATTCTGGATAAAGTTAGAACTCCTACGTCGCCAATATTCGTAGCGAATGTAAAATCAATCATATTGTTGTGATATGTTCCCGGGTAGGAGGGTGATGCGGTCATTCTTACAACCACGTGCATCTTCTTCTAAGGCGAGCCTGAAGCTACTAGCCCTCTAATTGGTGCGAGAGTCACTTTTTTTTCCAAGTTATCATTTATTCATAACAACAATAGTTAAACCAGTCTACCCATTTCATTTCTTACATGAGGTTATCTCATATCTCTCTTGGTTTCTTACCATGGAGGTGGAGTTGTTGGCTTCTTGACACAAACTAGACATTCACACACCAAGTCTCCTTTTGTTTTTGTTTCCTTTGCTGTGTTGTAATATTTTGGCGGACAGTACCTCGAACCACACACGTCGAGGTCACAGTCTGTAAGTCACACACAAAGTACTATTTAATTTGGTGATTATAGAATACAGAAATATGCAACCCTTTCCCAGTTCATCTATGATTTGGTTTTATCGCATAAACTGAGGTATTTTACAAAGATTTTCAGTCCTGATAAAAGCTGTTGTTGTACACTTCTAAAATTACGATAATTTTTTTACGTGTGTCTGATATCGCCAATCAGCTGCCGCCACGCCACTCGCCTTTTGCCCCAATCTCTCGAGAGTGTCATCAATTTAAATCCAAAGTCGTTGGTCGAACTTTGTCGTCAGTAAAGGCTTACGGTGTTTATACAATAAACAATACAATACATGTTTGGTTGTAGTTAGTTAATTTCTCTTCTGGAGAACTACAAAAATAAAAATTCATAGACATAGTACTATAACAACAGTCTCATTTGTGATGGCTGATTTATGTAGTTTGAGAGTTAGGTAATGAATAAGTTTTATTGATTGGCAAAAAACCTTACCTAATTCTGCAACAATCCTTGTTATACAGCAAAGGAACGTGACGAGAATAACGAACACCATGTTCTCTTTTCACAATAATTCGTCAACCTAAGCTAAGGAGAAAGAGAGAGAGAAGGTTCAAAAGTAAATAAAATTAAAAATTAAAAAATGTAACTAGGACTTGAGCGCGACGAAGAGACAAATTAAGTAATCGTGAAGGATTTTGAAACAATGCTCGAACCCAACTTTTGGGCTGAGCACATTGATCCGGCTTTTGGTGACTTTGGTTATACTGATGCGAGTAGATACTTGTGCATGTTAAACGACTAGCGATTCCAACCTTTACTATGAAGGGCTAAATATTTTGAAAGCTGATGACCAGTCTTGATCGCTGAGAGCAACCAGTTTGGGCATACTTGTGTTTTTTCAGTATTTGATTGTATAACTGTTGGCTGTTGACCCCTTTGAGTGTCTCGAATATCAACTTGCTTATCGATTGTTCACTTGGTCACCTGCTCGTCTTACCTTGCTTGCCTGCTTTCTGATTTAAAGCTTAAAGACAAATAATAGCGTGGTTTACAAACGTCTAGAACTCTTAACAATCAATATCCAGACAGCCTGAAATCAATGTTAAAAAAAGGGTGTTGGAATAATAACCTTTTGAAAAATGCTACAGTACATCCAGTCGTCTAATTCTCTCTCTTAATCTTCTTAAAGTATTTGTATTTCAAAGTGCTCTTAATTTTTTCGCTCTCAGAAACTTGTTGTCCAGCCACAGCTGCCATAGATTATTAAAGGAAAAATTAGAAAAGTACACCATTAACACTTTGGTATGTAGAAATTCAGAATAATTCATCGCTTGATTTGAAAAACATTACTGAAAATATACAGTAAGATGAGTGCACTAGCTTACATGAATCACCTGGGCTACTTTCGGGTTCAAGGTTGTTGAAACAGTTAAAGCAGGTTGTCCGTAAAATAATAGGGCTTGTTAAGATGCACGTCTATCTTCATTGTATGTAACGATAATACAAATCAACTTGAATACACGTACTAATAAGCTTAATGATATAGTTGCACAGATGTTTTGCCCATTTTTCTTGACTGTCTGATACATTATTTTTCTTGAATACGCAAAAAACAAGCTAGCATTATTTATGTTTTCCATCGATGTTTAGCAATATCCTTCATTTCATAACTCAATAGCAGTTTACGACACACTAGTTAATAGAGTTGATCAGCTCTATAGAGATATTATAATTTGCACATACTGATTTTTCCTTTCCGTGCAACCGAAGGAAACAAAATGGTTTCCCGCTTCGCTAAGGTAACGAAATAGGAAATTACATGCATTAACGCGGAGGCTGTTAAATAAATGTTAAAAAATAATATTAAAAGCAGAAACAATGGCAATTATAAACAGAAGTGGCAACAGAAAAGTGAGTTTGGTATGACAGAATTAAATGTTTATCTTGTTTAAAACTTTATATTAATCATTCTATCCTCTAGATCTAAGACTGCTGACCAAAGTTGACGTCAACATAAACTATCGAACACCATCTTGGTAAAGATGAACAACTCGTTTTTTACTGCATTGTTATAAGACGAGAAAGACTACCAATGGAAACACATAATATCCGAGCAGTGGCATAACAACATTCATAAGTTCTACTTTATCATCGGGAAAGCGATTGGAAAACGAAATGGATATTTTATAGTAATCATTCCTTTGCTGGGATGAGAATTACACAGCGAGATTTTCACCAGTTTAACTTATGAGCTTTGTTGAATATTCTCAGATACAAATAATGTCTTGCATTTGTTTGCTCCTTAACCAGACTGTGTGGTATAAACTTATAACCCATTCCACCAACACATGTTTAGTTAAACCAGGTTTAACTGGATAAAAATTCAGCAATAGAAACCTCAGTGAAAAAATAAATTTTACAAAGGGTTCCAGTACTCTCTGGTTTTTAAGGAGTTGGTTAGATTTTTAAGTCGACCAAAAACGGTTTAAGGAATCTCAATTTCAAACCATAACTAACAGAATAGCTTTAGGACGTGTTTTAGCTTTTTTGTGAATGGGGTATAAGACAATTCTCCGTTGTCTTTGAAATTAGTGGATAATCTTTACCTCCCCTTAAATTATTTTTATTAGAATTTAAAACATTGCAGCATACGTCTCATCGTATTCCACGCTTTTTGTTTATTTTCTTGTTTCTTTACCAATCACATAAATGTCAAAGCTTATGCCAAAATTTAAGCAGGCCTGGTTTCGTTCAGTGGCGCCTGTTTCGATTGGAAGTAGCATCGAATTGTTTATTGTAAACCTGCAAGTTAAAGGACGACTTCAAAACTCTTTAAACCACTCAAGGGGCCAACATTTAATGCCCAATCCTTGGATGAACTTTGTACATTGAGCGAAGAGGCAGAGAGAGAGAGAGAGAGAGAGAGAGAGAGAGAGAGAGAGAGAGATTGAAACTAACAGTAACCAACTAGTCAGTGTCAAGTAAACGATAATAGATAAAAGTCTAGTGATTTGTTGATCTGGTGCCAAGTAAAAAGTCCTCAAACGTGATAGAGTCACCTTCAAATTCAAAAGATGAAACTCATTTTCATCTCATACAAATTGTGGAATCGTTGAGCAAAAAACAAATTTCGAGTACCACTGGATGAAATTTTTGCCAGCCGACGGTTTTATTCGGCAACCCTGATCGTGCTTTTGGTCAGACACTCTTTTGGGATACTCGTGCAACCTGTTCCTATGTTAATGATGGCTATAGAGCCACTACTTTTACAATATAAGCAGCATGCTTCCAGACGTTTGACAATCTTGCGTTGAGTACCCTAAACAGAATGACCACCTTGCCATTAGAAGTGAGAGCTTCTGGCTTTAGATGTCGATCATAAAAAGTACACACTAAATAACTCCCTCTAGCCATAATTTATATGTTTCTCTTACATGAATTACAGGAATTTTTAAAGCATAGTATTAGCAATTCGCAAGCGTGACAATGGAAAGCTTGGGTGATTTCGGGCGACATGCGAGCTTGTGAAATACGTCTTCTCTCGCCAATATTTGATGAAGATTTGGCAATCAAGTACTCTAAAAAGCATTAAAAACTACTTACATCCTTGGTCCGCCATTGTAAGTTCCTGGCGAAGTAAAATGCTTCGATTCAAGGATAGAAGGGAAAGCGTGTAAAACGATAGTTAGCAAGACACGNATCTTTGAAAATGTTTCCTCTGTTTTCTGTAAACCAACGATTTGGAGCTTCTGGATGTAAGTACAGCTTGTTTTTAACGGCCACGGCAGCGCAATAAATACAAGTTTACCAATTTTATAATCCCCCGCAGATGTTCTCTGCTGGCGAGTTTTTCTCTTGTTCGAGACAGTGCTTTCATTATTTTGACGCAAACATCCTCTATTTGTTTCTCTCCCATACAAAAATGAACATTTTTACGCATTAAAGGTGGAAAAGTTTTGTCCTTTTTTTGCCCTCTCTGTCGATAATCTGATTTTTTAATCCCTACTTTAGAATGTTTACTTGTAAAAAGCAAGTCGAAACTCTAATATGCGAGTTTAAAGCGCTAACTATAACTTTTAATTGGGAATTGATTGTGAAAGAGATTTTCCTCAGTGTAATCTGCTGTAACTTTCTCCTAACTAAAAATTGTCACATTTCGTGATCAGGTTTGGACAAACTCATAAAGAGCGCAGCAACTGCTTCCTAACTCAAGCTACGACGAGGAAGGAAACCAGCTGGAAACTGGTATCAGTTTTTATTAAAACTTTTCGCCCCCGTTGTAGGTAACAGATCAAATTTAAACTTTTGTTATTATCAGTGACCTCACGTAGCTATCTTATAATTGGTGTGTAAGTGCATTTTGAATATCGCCAGCTCTCCAAATTACTGACATGATAAATATCCATGAGCGATTTTGTTTCTAGCGATCTTCGAGAAAAAAAAAAATTCTGATGCTGGTGTAAATAATCTGGTTTTCCTATCCTTCCCTGTTGAAATGCCAACTTTTCTGCCAATTTTTTTTATTTTCGGACCTGTCTTCATCGGATTAGCTTGAATATTATGATTGAAACAAACATCTTTCGGTTCATTCCCCCTTAACAAAGCGATTCTCGTGAAAAAGACGGCAAAAGTAATAATTATCAAGCTTTTGAAAACAGTGGTAAAACAGCCGCTAAACAAAAACCAGAAAAAAAAATTTAGAAAAAATTGCACGATGCACAAGCTTACAAGTGTCACGACACTTCTCATGTGAGACTGCCGAAAGTAACGTTATGTTAGATATGTGCTGATATCTCAATAGGTTTTGCTGGTCTAACTTTTCTTCTCCGGCCTTACAGATACACACTATCACCTGCTCCACTCATTTTTACTCTATTTGCAGGAACACGTCTCTTTATACAAAGAGAATTTTAAGAACCATGGCAATCATAAGGTCTTGTATATGAAAAAAGAAATTGTAAGTCAACTTAACTGAAACAATTAACAAAGAATAATTCTGAACGGTCCATGGTAGAGATTAGACTTTATTCTCTACTTATATTACCTTCAAATATCACTACAGAAATATCAACAACAAAAGAAAATTAGTGAAAAAAAAGGATGGCTTTGTCTATAAGACATAAGGTTGTGCTTTGTGTTTTATTAGGGACTTTAAGCAGTCAGGAC